CATAAAACAGGTGATTCTGTCCCCCGCACTCTCTTGACCCACCGCCAATATTTCCGCCCGTGTTCTCTGGTTTGTTACTAAGATTTGAGTGAACCAACATTCAGCCACTCACAAGGCGGATCATCTCTTGGGCGCGTCTGCCATGAGCTTCAAATCTCCTGCTGCTCTCGCAATTTCTTTCGTTCGTTCAGGGATGGGCGATACCACTTATTTTGTTTTCGATACGATACCGATATTTTTCAAGGCAGTATCGTCGATACGATACTTCTGAACTAAACTTTTAAATGATGAAATGTATTCAATTATTAAATTACTAAGAGTAAAATGGGTAATGATAACCACTTAACTTTATGTTTAAAACACATATAACATTCAATAGGCCTACGCCTTAATTGTAATTTATTAGGTTATATTTTGTTTACACATGGTTCAAATTAGTTTTTTGTTTACACATGATTCAAATCTACAAATACTACAGTTGCTTTTCCTACATAAAACCTTTTCATAAAAGGTTCTTAATGTTCTTGTTTAATGTGGAAAACCAAGGCCTTTTGATAAACATTAGTCTCTGACAAACAACATGCAGGATTCAAACACAAAAGCCTACAAAAGACACCCATTATCAATAGACATGAAAGAAAATGAACTGGAGTACATATCTTCTGCTACTTTAAAATGTTGTTGAGATGGCACCCTCTTTCTGGAACCACTTTGTTCAGATGCTTCGTGAGCCTTGAAAAACAATTTGGGTTGTTGATGGAAACTCAGTGAATCACGGGCTCTGGTTTCTTGCCTAAGGGTGTGGAATAAAACAGATCCCTGCCTTTTTGTATAATTCCTATCAGACAGCTCAGTGTCTGATTTCTGGCGTTTAGTTGGCTTGGTCTTATTCTCAGTTAGTCCCTAAGTGACAGTCTCTTTATAAACCACTAGATGGCAGCCAAACCATAATCCTCCACTATTAATAGTAAGTTTCATACAACATCTACAGAAACAGTTCTCAAGCAGATTGAGGAAGACTTTTTTTTTTTTCAAATGTTTTATGCCCAGCATTTATTAACATGAATAATGCACAAGATGGTGGATGTTATTTACCAAGTAAACTAAAATGTACAATGTTAAACATAGCTCCTGCCAAAATTCAGTAGGTTTAGTGCTCTAAAACCACCATGACACTCCACCCAAAAATGAAAATTATCTAATTTATTAACCCTCATGTTGTCCCAGACATTTGACCCCTGACTTTCTTTCTTTAGATGAAAAAAACAAACAAAAAAACATGACAGTAATCCTTAATCCATATCATATGACCCCAGTGGATGAATCAATGACTTCTGAAGCAAAACAGTAGTTTTCAAGTTTTCAAATTATAAATAATTTCTTTCGACCAACTGTCACGTGGGTTCACGAGAGCTTCGTGCGCTTACAACGACACCATGTGAAATAAAATTTTTTTTTTTTTTTTAAGTAGAAAATATTAGCTTTTGGACTCCACACTGCGATTAAAATATTAATTTG